TCATACCACACAGAAGAAGTAGAGAGTAACTATGGCCACAAGCAGTAGCGAATGGCAGGCCTAATACAGGAATCCGTATGTTTTCCACAAAGTACGTCACCCACAGGTTGACCACAGTCTGTGTTATCTTTTCCTTAGGTCATAGTGGACTACTTCAGGTGATCTTGCATAAAATGGCAAATGACTTCATGGCAAGGACCATATACATGTTCCCCACTATGCATATTTGTACACACTCATGCTTTCACATGCATGTGCATGTACACACGCATGCACACACACGCACACACACACACACACACACAGTTAAGGAGACCCAGCTGGCTCCACCTACAAGGCTTGGCCTCTTGGATATTGTGTCCAGCCTCTGCTGTGCTTCAGATCCCAAGCAGCTCTGAACCCCAGTTACTTCTTGAGCAGGGATGCAGGTGGCATCTTGTTACTCCATCAAGAAGGGTCTGGAGTGATCTGTATCTGAGTGAAAACTGAGGTGGATCATGCACACCAGCCAGGTGCAGAGGATAGCTAAAGGGACAGACAGCTACCATGGCTGTGTGAGTGTGAAGGCTTTATATTTCCTTGTAGGACCCTTTTCCCTCCCTCTTTACGCTGATGGAAGTGGCCCCTCCACCCAGGTCTGCCTCTGATAAGCCTGAAACAGTAGCTGAGTCTCTTATCAGGCAGCTGCAGGGGGATATAGGGACTCTGCACTGCACAGTTGGTGCTGATAAAGTGGGCCTCGGCCAGACACTCAGCAGCTGTGGTCTTGGACCTATCCCTAGAGTCACAGTTCTCGGATATGAGACCCAGGGAATCTCATTCATTTCCTACACAGCACAGCAGGATTAACTGCTGATGGTCTTGGCTGCAGAGCATACTCGGGAACATATAAACACTTGGTCAGGAACATTGAGGGAGCAGAGCTAATGGTGAGCCCACAGATGCCAGCATGGCATTATGGATGGGGACCCAATGGGATTACAGGGTTGTTTGTGAAGTGGGAACTGTTCATAATTCCTTGTGAAGCTGTCACTGCCATCCCCATTTTAATGCTGACATTAGATTCCTATAGAAATGTCAAGGTATTTCACCTAAGGTATGGTCAGATTAGATACCATGTTGGCCCTGTCATAAAGGCAAATTTTCATTAGCCCTTCATACACACACACACACACACACACACACACACACACACACACACACACTGCTTGACAACATCATATTCTACCATCAAATTCCACATTAGCTTCCAACCTTCTCTGACTTAGCACATCTAGGGGTTTCAGATGAACATCTGTAGGTCCAGCAGACAGTATTTGAGATGCACTTACACTAAAACAGTCTTGTTTATATAAAATTAAGCTTCTCAAGGATCTTGCAGCTTTAGTCAATAATCCTAATGGGACAAGACCTAGACAAGGTTGTTTTATTTTGTTTTTGTTGTAGTGGTACCAGGATTGAACTCAGAGCCTTGCACGTGCCAAATACATGCTCTACCACTGAACTACATACACAGCCCAGCACAGTTGTTTTTGAAAGAATTCCAGGTGACATGTATGGAGCCAGAGTTGAGAGCCAGGAGTAAAAAGCCTTCTGAGTGTGTCTTATAAAGGAAAACATTTAACTGGGGCTGGCTTACATGTTCAAAGGTTAATTCATTATCGTCATAGTGGGAAGAATGGTGGTGTGCAGGCAGACATGGTGCTGGAGAGGTAGCTGAGAGTCCTACATCTAGATCAGCAGGCAGCAGGAAGAGAGAGACACTGGCCCTGGCTTGAGCATTTGAAAGCTCAAAGCCCATCCCCAGTGACACACTCCCTCCAACAAGACCACACCTCCTAACAGTGCCACTCCATTCAAATATGAGTTTATGGAGGCCATTCTTACTTAAACCACCACACCCTCTTTCTAGAACCTCTCAGCATCTACTCACTGTGAAAATGCCCATACTTTGAAAGAATACAAGAATGTGAAACCTATCCTGTTTTAGATCATCTCCCAGCAGGAGGCTTTAATCTTGATTGAACAATGAACCCAATCCTGTAGCTGCCTAGTGGCTTTCCTGGTAACTTATTTTATTCTGTTATTCAGTTTGATTAAACAAAATCTCCTCACCTTTAATAAACAAATAATCTCAGCAGCCTGTCAGGAAATGGTGTTTCCATGACTCTCCTTCCCCAGAGTGGATATATCAGGACTTAAAGCTGCTTTTGAGGAGCAAGACCCCTGATAAGTGGTGAGAGATGAGTCATTGCAGCAGGAAACTGTGTCTACCTGCCCTTTTACCGGGGTCCAGATTTCAAACACCTCCTGAAAACTCCTGAAGTGAAAGTGGGTCTAAGTTTGTTGGCTTTCCTCTGATTAGTCTGGGATTGGGGAGGGGACGTTTATTCCTTTCTATAAAAGAAACACTTTAGGTAGCAACTGGTTTGTGTCGTGGGACTTCAGCTGACAGGAGGAAGAATTATATATGTGCTTATGACTTCTTTGATTTAAAATAATAATAATAATGGGGGAAAATATAAATCAGAAGACATGGCCAGGGAATGGTTAAGATGGAACAGGAGTGACAGACTGCGATGTCCGTAGAGCAGGGGAAACAGTGGCAGGGTTGGAGGAGAGACATGGCTTGTCCTCCCCCAAGCACAGACAAAAGACAGGACAGGGGTGGGACCATGGCTGGTAGCTTCCTGATTGCATCCCAGATACAAAGAGGAAGTGAACCGGTGACTCACATGGGTGTTTTCCCCGCCCTGGTACTTAGCAGTTGGGATTGGAGGGACAAAGAGGGGTAAATTTCACCATGGGAAACGCTCAGGAAGGCTGACCAGCCCAGATGATAAGGGAGTTCTAGCCTAAGCATCCATCATGCCATCTCATCCTCCATAGCCCAAGCCCAGGCTTCTGCTTTCTGAGTGTGTACACACATTTGTGTGTATACTTCTACCACATGGGCACATGTGAGGATAACAAGAAGAGATCTCATGTAGGAAATGACACCCCAAGGGAGCCATCCAGGATAGTCCCACGTCCTCTCCACAAACAACACTCCTGCTAAACCTCTGACCCCAAATTCCAGGCTCTCTGTGTCACCCACTGCAGTGACCTCTTGAAGAACTGTGAGGTGACTTTTGGAAAGGGCAATTTTATTTAATTTGCATACTGCTGTCTTTACCCCCACCCAGCCAATGTGCTCCCAATATTTAAACCCTGCCTCTGCCTTCTGCCACATCCTTTTCAAATCCAAGTCTAGCCAAATTGTGGCCAATATGACAGAAAGCATTGGGGTTTTGTAAAATGAATGTCCATCTTGAAAATTCAGTTCTAAAACACCCTAAGATTACAGAGCTTTTCCTAAAGTCTTTCAGGAAAGTTAAGCTCAGTTTAGGAATCTTCGTTAGCTGAGGAATTTACATCCAGTGTGTGGAGGTCTAAGCAGTTCTCTGTGTCAGGAACAGTCTGTATCACGCCACCCCCGTCCTTATCAGGGTGGTTTCCTGAGAGCCAGGCTACAGCCCTGAGAGGGAGGGTCCCCTCTGCACACTCAGCACCAGCCCTGTAGCCCTGAAGCTCTCTCCGAGCATCTGGGTCACAGGAAGAAAAGAAACATTTCAGAAAGGACAGGAAGGACACTCACTTCCTGCTCCCCGGCCTGGCCTTTCCTTCCTTCCAGGGTGCTGTTCCAGTGCACTTTTGTCTTTAGGACCATGCTCTGTCCTGCCGCCTCGGGCCCTCAGCCCTCCTTTGCTCACCCCGCCTGTTACAGCTCTGCTTTGCACTGTGGAAACTCAACCTCCTGTCATGATGCCTCCAAGGGCGAGGGAGGTCACTGTTAGCAAAGTGCTGACTTCAGGAGCTTGACTGGCTGAATCGGATCCTCAGAACCCAAGTAGAAAAACGGGCAGGCTTGGTGTGCACTTACAATTCCAACATGGGAGGTGGACACAGGAGGATCCCTGAGGCTCACTTACTTGCCAGTTAGGAACCTGTCCAATTGCAGAGCCCTGGGTCTTGGTGAGAGACTCTGTCTCAAAAGTTAAGATGGACAGTATGCAGGGGAATGGAACCTGAGAGTGACCTCTGACCTATAACCCACCCACATACACACATACTGTCCAAGTGAAGATTGCAAAACTCCTTTCTTCCACCTCCTGCCCGGCTGTCCTGCTTGTTATAGACACAGAATCTGCTGCTGCCCAGGAAGAACACCTACCTCCCTGTCTGTGTGCAGAAAATAAACCTAGAGCTAGTTATCGTGGCTAACTAAACCATCATTATTTACACATGCAATCTGATCGAGGACACCAAGTTGCATAATTAGGTAATTAGGTAATTAGTTGCCTAATTATGCTGAAAATGCAATTGTATTCTCAAGTGAATTAAGTCCTTTAGAGAAGTGAGAGCTGGTGGGAAGCAGGGACTGACACACTGCTGTGGTGTGACTCTGGGCTGCATAGAGGCTGCTGGTTTGTACTTGAGTCACGTGTATGTGTGTGTAAAGCTCACATGAGCACACATGTAAGAAAAAGACACACCCCTCAGCCAGTGTCCATGCCGGGAACTTAAAAGATGACAGCCATTAGCGTCCCTGGAAGCCCAGTGTTCCTCTGCTGACTCACTGTTTAGTGAACCCCAGTATGTGCTAAGTAGTTACACAGAAGGCAATAACGATAGGAGAACCGCTAGGAAGCAGCAGAGGCACAATGTGCAGCCATACTCATTGGTTCACCTGGCCAGTGTCAGGCTAAGCCGTGAAACACTGTTGTGCTTACGGGAGCTCAAAAAGCACAGAGGCTTACTGTGAAATGCATGCACCTGTATGGCAAGTGCTTGTAGAGGTCAGGGGACAGCTTGGGGTGTCATTCTTCAGGAAGCAGTTTTGTTTGACCCAGAGTCTTACTAGCCTGGAACTCTCCAGGTTGATGAGGCTTGCTGGCCAGTGAAGCCCAGGGATTTTTGTGTAGAGTTACAGGTATGCATCTGGCTTCTTTTCCTTTAAAACATAGATTCTGGTGCTCACACTCAGGTCCTCACATTTGCTTGCGCAGGGGCCATGCTAATCTTCTCTGTATCATTCCAATTGCAGTATATGTGCTGCCGAAGCAAGCACAAGGCCCTTACATTTACCAGCCAAGTCACCTCCTCCAACCCTACAAAGGGATTTATATAAATGAGTCACTCAGCAAGCTGAGCTCTGTGGCCTGGGTTTGTACAGTCACCCAGCCAAGAGCGGACTTTCCCTTCGTAAATGTGTGTGTCTTGGTTACTCTTACACCTTACAGAACACCTGAGAGGCACAGCTTAAGGGATGCAAGGTTTCTTGTCCCTCGTGGTTTCAGAGGGAGCAGCCCACGGTGCTGTGGCAGGGTAGCCGGAGATAAGTGACGTGGAGGTTTGTTCATATGACCAGGAAGCTTAGAGTGCACAGTGGAACCAGGACTGGGTGTAACCTTCAGAAGTTCATCACAGGAATCACTAGGGTCAGAGAGTGGATCTCTGCAGCTCCAACACTCCAGGCTCTGCCCATCCTTGATAAGCCAATTAAAGAGGCAAGTGAATGGTAAGGGCAACTTCTGTAATGGAAGACATGGGGACCCGGTGATCTCTACCCCCACACAGCCATCTTCCTCTGGTGACACTGACGTGAGGTGAAGATTTAAATTCATTGCAAGAGCTATGCATACCTAAGCAGTCCTGGTCAAGGTGGGGCCCTACCCATCACTGACCCATCCTTGTCCAGCCTCCACGCTCTCTGACAGAGTGGTCTGGTAGTTTGTCAGAACGCAGTTAAATGTCTCCCTTCAAAACAAACTTCTGCTCTGAGTGCACTGGGTTTCAGCCTTCTTGTTCCCATAGGACAGGACTCCTGAGGAAATGCTTCCAAGAGCCATAGTATCAATTACCTGACAGACAAGTGTCTCTTTAGAAAACCCTCATTCCTGCCAGTCTGGTCATAACAATAGTGACCTACTCCCCACGGATTAGGACCCACCTTCCCAAATAACTCCACGCATGAATGTGTGGACAGTATTTCGAACCCTAAAAGATTCTAATGCATGTTCACACCATGCAGCCAAGGAATAGAAGCCAAGCCAAAGCTTCTAGGATGAGGAGGGATTTGCAAAAGTTAAGATTTCTTCCTAGAATGTGATCAAAATAAGAAAAATAACATAAGAAAACTGGCCCTCCCTCATCTACCACCAACTGCCAATATTTCTTCAGCTAGGGTTGGGGCCTCACAAGATTCTGTGATAGAGCCTTGACTGGCTTGATTATGTTAGGAGTTTATGGAGGTAAGGACAGCTGCTGTGAGTTGATGGATGCAATGGCCATGACATGTCCAGAAGACTACATTTAAAAGAACTCTCCATCCTACAGCTGGGGTCTAACCCTCTCTACCTTCTTTTCCATACGGTCCCCTGTGGCTTGCAGGCATGGCAGGAAGTTGGTATAGAGTCACACGTTCTCAGTATTTTGACAATTTATGAGTCTATGCATTAGCCCCTATCCACTGCAAAAAATAAAAATAAAAAAAATAAAAGAAGGTTCTCTGATGAGAAGCCCTCACCTATGGGTATTATCATAAATATTTATATTTAGAAGGCAGGCTAAAACATGACTGTTTAGCAAAATAACAACAGTAGGTTTCCTCTGAGGGTGAATGGCCTCAAACTAATGGGCTCTTAGCCAGGTTTATAGTAGCAAGCATAAATTTTCTCCTGTGGTACAAGCCTACCATCTAATCATAAAGTGGTTAGTTATGCCCATAACCTTCATGTCAGCAGTGCACCAGTAGGCACATCTTATCTTGGAGGTTGATGTTGTTATCATGCAAGATCCCACACTATATAAAACAATTGATGACATGTCTCCCTAAACCCAGCAGCCTGCATAGAGCCTTCCAGAACCATGCATGATAGCTAGCAGTGAAAGCGTTTCCTCGTCAGTTCTAGATTGATTTCTAGTCTGCATCCAAAGTGTATGGTATCTCGAGCAATGGCATTTTACCATCTCGTTGTGGTGGGCAATCAAGAGGAACAGCAATATTTATAATAACCCATGTATGCTAAAAGCAACATTGCTCACCCATGAAGGGTACCTCCATTCCATTAATATTGTTTTTTTTTAATGTAGTTTTTAATTAGCTTAAAAAGAAGTGAGTTTCAATAAGACCTTTTCATGCACCCTTAGCTGTGAGCAGCTTAACCTGTTGCTTCATTTCTTTTATCACTATCATCCCTGTCTTAGTTATATCTCTATGGTGTTATAGAACACCATGACCTATACGGATTTTATCCATAGACCAAGGATCACCAACCTACAGTCCATGCTGCCAGAAAAGCTACTAAGAGAGACATACATGGTCCCCTGGAGGAGAGGAAAGGGACAAGATCTCCTGAGCAAATTGGGAGCATGGGGGAGGGGACAAGGAGTTAGGAGAAAGAGAAGGGGAGAAAAGGTGGGGAAGAGGAGGACATGAGGGAGCAGGAAGATTGAGTTGAGGGAAGAATAGAGGAGAGCAAGAGATACCATAATAGAGGGAGCCATTATAGGTCTAAAGAGAAATCTGGTGCTAGGGAAATTTCCAGAGACCTACAAGGATGACCCCAACTAACAATCTAAGCAATAGTGGAGAGGCTACCTTCCCTGATAATGAAATTGATGACTACCTTATATGCCATCCTAGAGCCTTAATCCAGTAGCTGATGGAAGCAGAAGCAGACACCCACAGCTAAACACTGAGCTGAACTCCTGGACTCCAGTTGCAGAGAGGGAGGAGTGATAAACAAAGAGGTCAAGACCAGGCTAGGGAAACCCACAGAAACAGCTGACCTGAACAAGGGGGAGCTCATGAACCCCAGACTGATAGCTGGGAAACCAGAATAGGCCTGATCCAGACACCCTGAATGTGATTATCAGTTAGGAGGCCTGGGCAGTCTGTGGGGCCTCTGGTAGTGGATCAGTATTTATCCCTAGTATACAAATGGACTTTGGGAGCCCATTCCACATAGAGGGATACTCTCTCAGCCTATACACATGGGAGAGGACCTAGGCCCTGCTCCAAATGATATGATAGACTTTGAAGATTCCCCCATAGAAGACCTCACCCTCCCTGGAGAGCAGAAAGGGGATAGGCATGGGTTGGTTGGGGGGTCAGGGGAGGAGAGGAGGAAGAGGGTCCTGGGATTGATATGTAAAACAAGCTTGTTTCAAATTTAAATTTTAAAAGGAGAGGGTGGAGAAAACAAGAAAAATCACTATGACCAAGACAACTTACAGAAGAAAATGTTTAATTTAGTAATTGCAGTTTCAGAGGATTTTAGCCATGATGATGGCAAGGAAAGCTGAGAGCTCACCTCTTGATCTGCAATAGGAGGCAGGAGAGACACACTGGGAATGGTATGAGTCTTCTAAAGCCGCAAAGCTGGGCCCTCGTGACACAACTGCTCCAACAAGGCCACACCTCCTAGTCCTTCCCAAACAGTTCTACCAACCGGGACCCAAGTATTCAAACATGTGAGTCTATGGGGCCGTTCTCATTCAAACCACTGCAAGCCCCATGGCCAGTTTGTCCCACAGAAGGGATTGGGTGGTGACCAGTCACTGACTCAGAGCTTAAAAACAGAACGTAGGGTTCTCCCTCTTTGAAATCTCCTTTCTGAAACTCCCCTTAGTTGTGGTGGTTCTGTTTGCTAGAACCGACTGCACTGACTACTATGATTTTGTTCTGTTCTCAGACTAAAAATTACAAGGAAGAGGAATTCACTCCTAGTGGTTTATTATTCCAGAGCATTCCTTAAAAATCCAGTGTATCTATTTCACCACTGAGAATTATCCTTGACTTCATCCAGATTCTTCAGATCTGAGCAATGGTAGGTTCCACTGGAGATTCCATTTGTAAGACGGAAGCAGAATCTCTCTTGATATTCTGACGGGGAATTCTGTTAAAACACAAAAAAGTAAGCTTGGAAGAATGCTGTATTTTAGACAGTCAGCCTTGCTAAGAGCCAGTTTTGTCTAGCCACCTGATTCTTTGGCACTTCTCAGCATAATTTTCTTTGTGTGGATATAGATCCTGTGTGTTTCTTAATAGATAAAAACCCAAATCTGCTATCTAAACCAATTGTGGTTGTGATTACACCATACTTCCTTCTTTTCTGCTGCATGTTTTTGGCAGGGACCTTATGGGAGTCTTTGGCATTGAGCTCTTTCTCATCCTGGTTCACATCACGTGTTTCCCCCTTCATCATTAGCACACACCCTCTGCTTAGAGTCATGCCAGCTGAGAACATCAGTTGTCTGCTTTTGTTTCTGATCTGTCACATGGATTGATTACTTTGTTGAGTTCTTGGGGCTGTGATCACTAATGTTAGGTCACTTAGAACTTGGTCTTTTCAGTAGAGTTAACCATAAAAGAGTATGATGCAGTGGTGTGGGTCCCTCATAGATGCTGTAGAGACTCTGCCTTCCCAAGGTTTCCTTCTAGGCATACCACCTGAGCTTGCCCCCAAGAAATGAGGGGCAAAGGAAAGTGCAGCAGGTTCTTACCTAAAACGAGGAGCAAGGAGTTCAAACCTCCTCAAAGGTCAGCAGCAGAACTTGAACTGACTTCAGCAAAAGTCAGTCATTCATCCATCCAAATTTGGCCTGTCACTCAGCAGGAAGCTAGTGGGGTGAGGGACGGACAACTGGTGTCTCAGATGACATCCAGACTCGTCTGAACTACACCTGACTTTAGCCCTTGAAGAAACAAAAGGTCTGGTCCTGTGCCTGAGTGGTGTCAGGGGACAGTTGAGGGGTAAGAGCAGACAAGCAATGTCTGTAAGAAGCCCAGGTCTTTGAAACAATCACTAGAGGAAAGCGGGTGCTACACCCCAGGCCACTGCCTCTACCCAAACCTCTTCATGTGGTTTTGTGTAACTCAGTGCCCAATGGCTCATGTCCCCCTGTATCCTACAGACCCAACTTGCCCATGGGGACCACTGCTACCACACCCATCTTAGCCTCTCCTTCATCATAACTGCCCCGATTCTGCCCATGGCATCCTGGACTCCCACAAGGACACGAGTAGTCATTGTGAGTTCCCCCACACTCACATTGCTCGACAGA